TGGCGGGGGGGGAGCAGGTTTTGCCCCCAACCCGGTGATCGGCCGGCTTACCAGCCGCCGCACATACTACGCAGTGTAGCGGTGCGGTGCAAGTGCCGGCCCTGTGACCGGGCTGACCGCAGCGGAAGCAGCAGTCGCTACGGTCTACCTCCGAGGTGCATTTGGCACCCACATGGTGACCAATAAGGCAACGATAGCACCTCAGAGGCCGGGGCTCAAGCAGCTTCACCTGCGCCGAGACCCAGCCCACCAGGAGTCTTTTGCCCTCCGACAATTTTTTTGCCGCTGTGACGGGGCAGCTGACTACCACAGTCCGCAGCCCCGTGCTGTCCGGGCGGATGGTGCCTGCCTTCACCTGGTCCACAGGACACTCCCCCATCCTGGCGACAGCGGCCGCCACCTCATTCTCCGTCACAGAGTCGTCCAGGCCCATAATACGTAGCTCCAGGCATTTAGTGGGCCTGGACACGCGAGCCTCGTCCGCTGCAAGGCACGTCCTGAGCCTCTCGGCTAGGGCGTCAGCGGACGACCCGCTGGCCGCGCCGGGGACCTCTAAGAGACGGGCTCCAGTGGCAGTGACCCTCACTGCGAACCCGTCGGGTGCCCCGAACTCCGCAGGAGATACCGCCCCCTTCAACTTTTTGAGTACGTCCCCGTACGTCACCCCCTTTTTAGCCGCATCCGGCTGTAGTGTAATCACTACAGCCGAAGATTTGGGGGCGAGGAGCATTGCCGCGGCGCGCTTCTCCTTGCGCCGCTGCTGCCGCCGTTGCCGCTGCTCTTTCTTGCGGCGCTTCCTCGCCTCCTTAGCGACCCTCCTCGCTTCCCCGGCCACCTGCCACTCGCCATCGGCACACAACTCCGATGGGGTGGGCGCCGCTCTGGCTGGAGCTCTAGCGGCTGCACCCCTGCGCCTGCGACTCATCGGCCTCCGTTGGCTGCGCCGGTTGGGGACGGCCTCCGCGAGCAGTGGCGAGCTCTGCCTTAGCTGCTCGGAGTTCAGCCTCCAAGGCCGAGTTCGCAGCCACCAATCGGGACAGTTCCCGTCGCATCCCGGCTAGCTCCTTATGCAGAGCAGCCATTTGCCGTCCCGTTGACCTCTGCTGGGCTACCGCCGACATAATGGCGGCTTCGGCGTGTTGAAGCACTCCGTATCTGCCAGCCTGGGTTTTCTGGCCAGCCACCGTACGAAGTGCTTCCTTCACTTCATTGCGAAGGCTCTCAGCGCCGCCTTCGCTTACAGAGCCCTCGCCGCCGGACACTTCAATCTCGGACGAGTCCGAGGGGGCGGCCCTTCCCAGGGCGCTCCCCTCCGCCGCTAGCCGCTCAACTGGCTCAGTGCGACTAACTACTGCCCTAGTGGAGCCCTTTCCTTTACCCCTTCCCCTCGCAGCCGTGGGGATTTTAGGGGCTGGGGCCTCCGGCTCGTTGGAGGACGGCTCTCGGCCATCCTCTAACCTAGGACGTTTAAAAACGCCCCGCTCTTTATGATGGCGCAGCGCGATGCCGACACCAGACAATGATGAGTCGGACTCCGAGTCCGACTCCTTCCTCCCCGGGGCCCGTAACCGGGATTTGCTGGGCACTTCTCCACGAGCCCGGGAGCCATTTCGGCCCTCACTGTCACATGCAAGCGAGCTGTGCTCGCTTGCCTTCTCCTGCACGTCAAATTTTTTATTTTTTTTAATATTTGTGTCTTCCATATCGGTCCCACGAGTATGGGGGAAATAAAAGGTCCACCCAGGGAGAGCCCCCTGTCCCTGGGTAAGTGTACATTTGTGTCCCAACCAGGGGGTCCACCGGTCCCCTAGCTGGGGGTGCGCTCACGACTGATGCTACTCCTCAGCCATACATACCATCGCCGCGCACCAGAACTTAGTATTGGAGGAATTTTTTATAGAGGTTGTCTTCCTCGCGGTCCGGGCGGTTAAGCCAAGACCCTCGTCCCGGTCCGAGTCATAAAACATGACCATGATCTCTTCCCGGATTACGATATCGACGGGTGCAGTCGGGCGCAACTAGTGCCCCGATGCTACTCGTTGGCAGGGTGAGTGCGCAACGAGCGCCGCCCTTGCTCCTCCGCTACGTTCTCTGCTAGGTCCAGAGGATCGTGCGGATGAACGCCCCCACAGAGGCGCAGGCCCTATGCCAGCACAGAGCAAGTCGCCTCTAGAACCCGACCGGGTTCTCCGCCCGGCCAGAAGTTCGCTGCGGGCGACAGTCAATCCAACCCTGTCTCCATCCCGTTAGGGAGACTGTCGCCCACACCCAGGGTGCACCACGGGGAGGTCTTCTGGCACGCACCCCGGATTTTTGGATACCTAAATAATAATTAATATTCCACAAACAAAATTCTTTGAAGTGTTTTTTTCTGCGCGCTTCGGTTGATATTAATTATAATAATTAAAATTATCTATACTAATATTATAAAAAGGTAAAATTTGTAAGTTTGTATGTAGGGGGCAGGGGGTAATCTTTGGAACCGCTGGTCGGATTACCAAAATTCTTTCACTGATAGATAGCTACAATGTTCCTGAGTGCTATATGCTATAAAACATCACGCTATGATTAAATGGAGCTAAGCAGCGGGTGGACCCGCGCGAGAGTAGCTAGTATTACATATATTCATGCAGCTCCTAATTGCGATCAGTACCCTGACCACTTCTGTCTCACAATATTCACAATACACAGTAAATTTATATGGAATCTGACACATTCGTTTGGTTAACCAACTTTATGTTACAGTCCTGTGTTATGCAAACGATGTAGATTATTGTAAAATTAAATGCTAGCAATCAATATGATATTTCGTAGCTGGCTAGCAGAGCATTTCTGATACGTTGGATGTTGCATGTGTATTAGAACCTAGTTGCCCTGGCGGACAGACTGACTAAAAGTACAAAATTGACGTTTAAATCAAAAATAAAATAATGTTTAAAAGGTAATATAAATGAATGCTTGGACCACCTAAATACTACAAGAAAAATAAATAAAATTAAAGCCAATAATTCAAAAGAAACGTTAAAATTGAAAAATGTAGTTCGTCAGTTTGTACATCAGTGAAGCTATGGTCAGTATTTTAATTCGATTCCAGATTTGACGTTAGCTACTGTCATTTTGTGAAATAACGATATCACATATAACAGTGTATTGATAAACACAAAAATCAATAAACAACCAGTGAATCAGTTTCAGTAAGGTATTCAAAAAATTACGGCTACCAAAAGGCCTAAATGCGTATTCCATGTTGTCAAAGAAGAGAAAAAAATTAGTAAGCTAGATATGTTAATTAACAATAATTATCACAGACACAATTCATAATAAATGTTACGGAAAGTAACAGCGATAGCGATAGCGATGACGGCGACAATTTATAAAATAAATTATTACCATAATACATCTATCTGTTTTATTTGTCATATTCCTTCATGATCTTTGTTTTTTTAATAATTTCACACAGAATTATAAAAGAAAAGTATCAGATCGTTAATTCATTGTCAAAACTAAATTATCGGTTCAGAAATATTTAATTTCCTGATAAACTTAGTTTACGAGAGTAAATTTATAAACAAGAGGAATCGATCCGGAAATATTCTATTTCCATATAGAATAATTTTGCAACGTCACTATTTAGTATCTACTTGTCATAACGTTGCAACCCTGAAATTGTCAAATCTGGAATCTAATTAAAATTCCAAGTATAGGTGCTTCTTCCAAAGTTTAGATTCGAATGGAGAAACGCAAGAAGCAACCAACAAGAAACCTCCAAATAAATAAAAGGCAAGAATAGTCGAAAAAAATATTTATTTCGTTATGAATATAAGCTGTCATTAATACATTATTGTACTCTGCGGAACAAATATATGAACACAATGTATTCAATTAGAAAATGTTATTGCTTTAGACTTAATTATTAAAAGATATTTTATTACTCTTATAATGTTAAGTACCAATCACTTATAATAAAGGGTAGGGGAAATGCAGCCTTGACTCCAAATGGTCGAATAAACCCAAAGGCTCGTTCACAGAAACATTAATGTAAAAAAGAAAGAGGTGCAAGTTTATTTTCCATTCAAAAGTGTGTTATTTCTAAAAGTAGTGATTAATGATAATAATTACTTTAATTCATCAAGCCCCAAGCGAACGCCGACGTTCGCGCTCCTATTTGAACCCATTTACACATTATTTCTTCCAAGATTACCATGCTAAAAAAACTAGAAATAAATGCATGATTCTGGAATGTTTGTAACTTCGTATCAAAAGAAAATGTATTTTAAAAAATATACTGCATTTCCTCTACTCAATGTAAATAATATTCACAAAAAGAAAATATTTTAATAAATGCAAATACGTACACATATAAACATACGATACAAAAATATTTTAATTCAATGCACGAAAAAATATATTAATAAAAAATCAGAAAATATTCTAGATCATTCGACAGATTTATATACTTTTCACTGGAACCTAACTTTGGTTTTGTTGTTAGAAACTAAAATACTTATAAACTAAGTTATTTATTTAAAAAAGTAGTAATGCCACAGAGATTCGATAGTATAGCTAAGTCTATACAGTATAAAAAGTATGCAAAAGCCACTTGAACCTTCTTGGATAAAAATACAAATATGTATTGACATTAAAAAAAATCTGTGCTGCAAATGTTACCAGCCTCAAAAAATAAAATTTTGTATCACATATTAGATAAAAACGTTAATTACTCATTGACATTGTTTAATAGCTTTCCTAATTTAATAGCTGCGTGGAATTTTTTGTGTACTATGAGTAAAAATAATAGAAAAAAGTGTGGAAACCATGACATGGCCAACTAAATATGTAAGTAGTTTAATATACAGATTGTTACAATATTCGAGATAATTTATTGGTTTATATCAAAACGAGACTATTTCAATTCAATACTTTTTCTACACTTTGCATGGAAGACTTCGGACTGGCTGAAAACTTCAACACTTTTTCTTATTCTTATTTCAAACAACGTTCCTGAGTAGTACGGCCCAGTAACGCCAACAAGACGAAACTAATACTCTCATTCTTACACAATAATCAACCTTATAATTTAGGAACTAAGTTGAGTTTTGAATGACAAACTGAAAATAACATACATTTGTAAGGTCCATTTTCCTAAGTAATCTCGTCCTGTTGGCAATACTCTACCTTATTTAGAACTCATCATGACGGGCGAGCGCTTCACCGAAATCTGTAGCTTGGGAGCCTACAAAGAGGTCGTATTTCTCTAAGATTTCGTCTTTAGTTAGTTTTTCGTCGGCATCCGTGTCTGCTTCGAAGACCAAATGTCTTGCTTCTGCTTCGGCATGGTCGAACTCTGGAGGTGCGATCCAATCTTTGACTTCGTTCTCATCCATAAAACCGTCCTTGTTTGTGTCTCTGTTGAAGAAAATAAACTTGAGAATAGGCACATAATGAGAACACAATTTTGGACACAGTTGGGCACAGCATAAGATTATGAGATAGAGGGGAAGAGAAAATAAATATATGTATATTGCACATCACCTCATTATTTCTAATAGTAATAAAGATATTATAAGCTGGCATAGGAATTATTTTGCAATGAAGTACATTTTAATTTGCCTTTTGAGTATATTTTCTTTTACTATAGAATGCTTGTAATCTTTTTACTATAATTGTTATTTATCAATATTTTTAACAGATCTGGCCGCTTATCTATACTAATACTAACACTAATACTAATAATATTATAAAGAGGTAAAGTTTGTAAGATTGTATGTAGGGGGGTAATCTTTGGAACCACTGGTCGGATTTCCATAATTCTTTCACTGATAGATAGCTGCAATGTTCCTGAGTGCTAGAAAAGATCACGCTACGATTACTACGATACGGAGCCGAGCAGCGGGTGAGACCGCGCGAGAGTAGCTAGTTGTTTAATATTATAGAAACAATATAGTATACAATAGAAACAATTAAAACAAAGAAACAACAACATAGGCACTGACGGTGGGTCCATAACTCTAATTAATATGTAGAAAATGCGTGACCCTAAAAAAGTACAAATAAAAACCATAGTTTAAATAGTTCAAGCAAACTAACTCTTCGCTTCGCCTTTAATATAAGTATTAGTGAATATGAATTTTCATTGAATTTGAGCAGTGTGACATTCTAAAACTTTTTGGTACAAATTTAACACAACAAACCTAATATTTTGTTGCCAACCAAACCTAAACTATTTGATAACACACCATCAACAAACCAGACCATCAATTGCCAATACCATTACAGTAATAAATAGAGTAACAAAAATGTATGTTAATAATGCCTGGTCAGGCTGCCATTGTTGAGTACATACATTCAATGGAGCTAAATTGATAGCACTGCGGTAACTGCCGCCAACTCATTGCCGTGATTTATAACATGTGAACTACTCGCGACTATTGCAAAAGAGCAATGAACTATTTAATAATTGGTATTTGGTATTTGTGAGTTTGGAATTTTCTATCACATTTTGATGAATGATTGATTAAAAATTATATTTGTCTAAATGTTGTAAAAGTATTTGGATTAATGTTATTAAGGTTTTTTTTACAAAGGTATAAGTTTATCATTAAGTTTTCGCTAGTTTCTTTATGTGTACTTTTGTAAGGCAAGGCATGTAGCAGACATAATTACGTAACTAACTTTTTAGTATAAAATATTATATTTCACTTTCCAATATAATAGAAAAATATAAAAAAAGAATTACACTTTCACACACTCAATGTTTTGAAATTTACCACTAAATCTCGTGAATTGACTGAGAAAAACTATCCTGTTTCAAGTCACGTCTCTTATTTATTATAAGCGTCTTAATCTAGTGCTAAATAATTTTCAAGAAATCAGTATACTAATTTTGATTGCTAAAAACGAGTATGTCTACAACTGACCTGTATCCGTTGAACTGTTCCCTCTCCTGTTTGACCCAGTCAGGCTCGTCTTCGTCCTCTCCATCCTCAGGCTTGTACATGTCTCCGATGTACTCCTCAAGAGAAACTTTACCGTCCTGGAAAGTTAAGACACAAGTTTTATATTAGATTTTGAAATAATCTAACTGGAATGATGACATTTTTTAAGCAGGCCTGGTTTTTTTTTTAAATTTGTAAATTGACTTGTTTTTTTCTATACTCATTTAGTAAGTTATTACGCGCTGCACAGATTAATGTTATTGACTGCCTCAAAGTCAAGTATTTATTTCAATTAGTTAAGCTTTAACAGGCACTTTTTAACGTCAAACCAAATTTTAAAGATGTAAAGTATCAGTCTATCGGTCAGTCCTCTTAGTGAAGCTATTTGCTCGTTCCAAAAGTGTAGATTCCTATGGAGAAGAACGAGCAAGAAACTCCATAGTTACTCTTTTGAAATCAGTTTCACATATTGATTCTTTGGTACATTATTATGGTCTTTCTCCTGAGTTTGAGCTTTTTGCTGAGTTGGCGACCCATTCGGTTTAGACATGTCTGCCAACCCTGTAGAACTGTATAATTAGCGTATTTTTGTTTTTTTGTCGTTTTAACCTTTTTATTGTTTTTTATTTTGTATTTTTGTTTTGTTCTGGCTTTCATGTCTGATGCCGAATAAATGCATTTTCTTTCTTTCTTTCTCCTTATCAGACCTAAGGTCATGTTAACAAACCAATTCACTTAAGTTCTCAACTATACCACCTCGATTTAGCTTACATATCACTACTTCTAGCTCAGATATTCTTATAAAAATATCTACGTATTATATGTACCTGATCTTTGTCAATATCCTCCATAGTTTCCAACACGACTACATCCCTCATTTCCGAGTGATCTTCCGGGTGAAGGAAGGCTGCGAACTCCGTGCGGTTCAACGCGTCATTCTCATCCGCATCTGAAGTATTAACAACATATGTATTTGTAAATAGTTTCATTGTGAAAAGACTTTCAATTCATCTAAATCGAAGCGAACGCCGGCATTTGCGCTCCTTTTGTTCTTCTATTGTGTCTCGAATAACTACGATTGAAGGGTTAAAAAAAGTATCTATAAGTAAATGTTAGATTAAAAATCATTTTTAATTTGGTTTTAAGATTAGTTTGATTTTGTTATTAGTTTTATTGAATGTCTCTTAAACATGTATATCGTTTCTAAAATTTTTATCGTAAAACTCGTCTAAATATCTGCAGGGTGATTACTAAACAAAATCATAAGTTCGATTTCTCGGTCCAGCAAAGTAATATACTCAATATTCCTCTTTATCATTTAGCAATCACATGGAACAAGAATTGGTTCAGCAATAACTCGCGTTAAAGTTAAAAAAACCATCCAATAATCATAAAAATCACTAGTAGTAGTAGATACTAGTAACAATTGATTTATACGGCAAGGTATAAGGTACTTAAAACAATCATAATTTAACGCCTACAAGCTCAACAATGACCCATTTCCCTCGATTGGCTCACTACTGCCAATAACAATAAACAGGTCTTACAATACATGTATGTATGTATGTATACTTTGCGTCTTACGCAATGAACGCTCTAGTACACATTTCCACCTTAACGTTATGTACTAAAGCTATGTTTAGACATTTAGTTTTCTCGCGGCTTTACTTGAGTACATTGTTGTACTTTAGACTTTCTCTATATATCGCAAAGTTTGCCATAGTTACCAAGCTCGGCAGGTGAGTTTGAGAAATGTTTAACAGGTTCTGGTTTCTTAGAAAGCGCATATTCAACTTAGTATGGCAAAATCAATTCTACATTCAACTGCACGGTTGGTGCGGTTGCGGTGGCTGGGCAACTGGTTGCCATGCAACGTGATGCGGGTTCGATTCCCGCACGAAACAACTCTTTGTATGATCTACAAATGGTTGTTCCGGGTCTGAGTGTCATGTGAATGTGAAAATGTATGTTTGTAATAGCACCCACTACACAGGAGAAAATGCTAGTGTGGGGCAACGTTTAAAAAAAAACATACGGTAGCCACAAACCTCACAGAATTACGTTACTAAAATTAGCACCCTCTGCCAAAAAAACTTTATTTTTATGCAAAAACGTTACTAAAAAAAACACTTTTAATAGTCAACATTCTGACTTATGATTATAAAAATAACCTATCTGAATTATAATTTATCTGTGCAGCAGATTTCATCATAAACCGCTGATTAGTTTTGATGAAAGCGTAACAAGAATAAACCCATATATCTTGACAAACGCTGTTATACTACCAGCGACCCGACCCGGCTTCGCAAGGGTGTAATGCTGATACAAAATTTCTCCACTATTTATTAGATGTAAAGCTACCTCTTCAATCACTCTATTAATTTAAAAAACCGCATCAAAATTTGTTGAATAGTTTTAAAGATCTAACCTTACAAAGGGATAAAGGGATAGGGAAAGCCACTTGTTTTACACTATGTACTATTGTAGTGAAGAAGAATCAATCTTACCAGCGTAAGTCCATCTCCTGCGGTCTCTCTTCAAAAGGTTGGAGTACGTAAACCCTTCGCTGTTCGGTGTCTTCAGTTCCTTAGGGTCCATCTCATCCATGAAGCCGTATACATTCTTTCTGTATGTCTGTGAATATAACAATAGAGGATTAATACTTAATTTTAAACGTTTTTGTCGTCGTCAAGTATAAATTAAATAAGGTTATTTCATTGTTGATCGAGTGGTCAGAAGCTTTACGTTTAATATCACTGTTTTTAATACTGGATGGAATAATCTGAAATGCACATTATTCACTTTTCACCTATTTATTTTAAGTGGGAGAGCCATGTTTCAGCTCGAATAGACGGCCTTAGACGGGCATGACCGGAGTGATAAAAAGACAAGAGATCCGGCCTGAAACACCACTTGCATTGTGTTTCGCCGAATGAATATACCAGGAGGTCAAAACCTTACCCACCCCCATCCTATCCTAAATTCTTCCAATCTTCTAATCCCTAACTCTCAAAAGGCCGGCAAGGTACTGGCAACTTCTCAGGTGTTGCGGATGTCCATGTGTGCAATAAAAGTTATATAGGTATATAATACTTTGCCCGACTAAGGAATCCAAACCAAAACTCGCGAGAATCGTGCTTATTATCAATCGACCTTTGATGTAGCGTTCTGCTTACATTGTAGGTAACTAGGTACACAGCTTAAAATGTAGCGTGAAACATAATTAATTTTCCAAATAAAACTGTTCCATATCCGTACATAATAATAATTATGACAAAAAGGAACATGATAAGAGCTTGAGATAACCATAAAACTAAACTTTGATAACGTCATGTCTCTCTTTATCGCGTTAAACTGACGTGTCTGTATACAATAGAAGCTTATTAAATTAAATGGTATACGAACATTTTGTTTTGCTTAATTAATTTCAACCTTATAATCAACGCGGAAAAGATTAATGTCAATTGTTATTGAATTTTTGTCAAGTAGCGAATTACAAGGCATTTTTGTTTTACTAAGTACTAGCTAAGTAGTATCACTATTTAACATGATGGCCAACTTTGATCATTTATTTGGTTTTAAATTAAGAAAAAATATTGTATTCTATTTTCTTACCTCCCAAGGAATGACGTCATCATTGTTAGGGTTGTGCTGCCTCCAATGGCGGTCGACATCCTCGTTGATGTACCGCTTCTGAGTGTACCTGATCCAATCCTTCAGTTCCACTAGCGAAACGAACCCATCCTTGTCCCCGTCAATCTTGTCCACGATGATTCTAGAAGGATTCAATCGAATTATTCACAGACGCGCATGATAACTAGGTCACTGAACTTTGATTATTTTTTTATGTACTGTATGTAGGCACTAGTAGGTCAAGCTACACAGATCTTTCAATTTTAACATTCGACTTAATACCATAATTATAAAGTTCAAAATTAAATAAAGAATTTTGAGAAAAAATTGTCTTTTGAACTGCTGCTTTCTGTACTGATGGTTCAATGCTAGAGATCTGCATTTTTTTGAGTAAGTCCTGCATGCTGATGTCGTCATTAATATATGTATGCATAAACTATCAAAACCGGCTTTGGGCGGTTTAAATGCTGATACTAAATTTCTTTACTATTCAATTCATGAAATCCCAAGCGAACGCCGGGCGGTTTTCGCGCGCCTATTGTTGAGCCATTGTATCCCAAATTACCACGACTTCTAAAACATAACATACATAGGGATATAAGGACAGAGAAAGCGATTTTGTTTTATACTATGTAGTGATGTACAATGGATCTGCACACAATGGAAATAGAAATCGCTAAGCTAAGAATGCAGTTTTTTTACTTTTTTATAATTGACAAGTGGCTATCTAAATATACCTGGTTGTATGTGTATGTTAATTACTAACAAACCTTCTAAATTTCAATCACTCTATCTATTTAATAAAAAACCGCATCAAATAAGTTGCGTAGTTTATAAGATTTAAACATATAATATTAAAGTGTGGGAGAGCTAAGCTCCGGCACGAATGAGTCGGCTCGACCGGAGTGATACCACGGCCTCTCAGACTACCGGCGTGAAACAACCACAGCGTTGTGTTTCGCCTTGTAAGTGAGGTTAAAGGAGGCCCAAACCCGCCCCTTCCCCTATCCTTTCCCCGATCCTTATATCCGCAACCCCTACCCCCAAAAGGCCGGCAACACACTCATAACTCCTTTGGTGTTGTGGGTGCCCATGGGCGGCGTCGATTGACTTATACCATAAAAACAAATAAAATAGGGATAGAGAGACAGATAAATTGAGATACTTTATACTATGTAGCAATTAGCTTATGTATATCTACGCAATAAAGAGAAGCCTATTGTGATCGTGCAGGCTACATGCAATTTTCGTTCAGATGCATTCAAACATTTTTGTATGAAAGAATAGCAAGTTCTCAGTTATCTGATGGTTTCCTATTACATATATTACAGCAACATCTGCAGTCAAAATAAAACTTTAAATCTATTACAAGTAGCCACATTTTCGAATGCACTTCATAAATATTGCATTACCAAATCAGAACATGGTGAAACAAATGCTTAATAACACCCCTTGGTTTGCTTTGCTAATTGAAATCTGATAACAGATTTTTACAGTAGCATTAAAAATTGAATTAGAAAAAAATAATTATGCACCCATTATAAACTTACAATAAGCTTATCAAGTTAACTTGATTAAAATTGTTTTGATTAATGTAATATAAGAATACAAGGTCACATTTTTCTCAATGAGAGATTGATAAATAAAATATTATATGTATACTTATAAACCACTTGACACATGTAATATTACACAGCTTTGGTATATGAGGGTGTACTAAAACCACTTGTGTTTTCTACCTATCTCTTTACTAAGACTTAAATATTAGAACTATTTCCAGTTATGTGAGAATTTAGAACTTGAAAACTTTGTTTACATATGTTTACGGATGGCACACATATATTTATTCAGATAAAACTTTATAATGGTAAATTGGTAAATGCTTAAATAATTTTATGGGAAAAACAAAAAATATTGGATACAAAGGAATCTGTAACCCTTTTTTGTTGGTTTTTCATAGTATACTATTAAAAATAATCTATTTTTAATATAGAATGTGATTTTTATGACACACAAAAATATCCCTAAGAACCTATGTAAACTATTTAGAACTAATTACATTAAAAGTAAAAAATCTGTACAATCAGCTAAAATTAAAATTAGTTCTTCCTCCAAGATAGGTATTTTAATCATCATGTTAAAAATAGCAAACATGTACATAAAGTGTCTGAACTGTTATCTGCCAGTTTAACTAACCCACATTGTGTGGGTGAGATCATTGACATACTCAGATAATCTTAAGATGCAGGAAATTACATGATTGCCACTGAATAAAGAAATTACTGGAAAGTCTCCATTTTTTAAATAATTAAATAAGTATACTTAGATAAATAATTAATTAAATAAGTACACTTAGAACTTTTTGCATTTGATTTTGTTATTTAAAAATAATATGTACAAAGAATAGCTAGAATCATTTAAATATTTTTAAATTAATTTACTGTTTCTTTGCAAAATTAAATACTTATTTTATACCACAGAAAAAACAAAAATATCATATTTTAATTTAACACCTAGCTTTTTATCCAGATTATTAGAATGTTAAAATTTATAAGTTTGGAAAAACTGCAAATAAACATATGTTTATTTTACTATACTTTCTTAAAAATGTGCAATGAGCAATTACTTTACTCAACTCATCAATTACTTTGGTCAGTTATAGGTATTTAACATAATCAGTTTACCACTAAAATTACTATCGAAAATAATTAAGCAAAAGTCACACTTGAAAAATGGGAATAAATTAGGAAGTGCACACTCACCCCAATCTCCTTTTACTCTCCTCAGGAGGCAGCTGATCAAATGTTTTGGCTTGATCTTCACCTAAAAAGGCGTCGTGATCAAACTGCTTATTATGATGTTCGTTTTTAAAGTGTTCGGCCTCCGAGAGGCGATCCATTATCCTCTTTGTTTCTTCAGGAGTCGGCACGCCGGCAAACACAGCCGACACGGCCAAAGCAACAAACAACGATCTCAGCATTTTATCTGTTTAAGAAGATTATAAGTTTTCTTTCAGAATCCAAACATTAAAATCAGATTTCTACTAAATTCGTCTCATTAAAATTTATATCGCAGTGAATAAGTTAACTATTAAAACACTACTTGAATACGACTCCGCTAAACTAATTATTGGGACACGTACCCGTTGGTTGCTGCCACGTCAACACGACCACGTAAACTTCCTCGTTCCCGGAATGATAAAACAATCGGGATGAATATTATCGGATCGCAACGAAATCGCGGGAGCGCAAGCAGCCGAACGAGAGAAGCACAAAACGCGAGATGCTGCGATTTTAGTGCGTTCTGAAACTTACATAAACACAAATCACAAATGTCAAAACCACGTATTTTGATGTTCGTAGAAATATGTAGACAACGTAATATGATTAATAATCATAACCATTGAATATAATAACACGGATATTTTAAAAAAAAAATTATATTTAAAAATGTAGTATGTCCACAAAATTAGAGTTCACACAAAGTATCTTAATAATACAAATTGTTAAATTAGTTATAGTTTTAGAACAAATCTGTCATAACTGACAGTAAAGATGATTGGCTGGTGAGTTTTCACAGATAACAAATGAAAACTGAGATTTTAAACATTAAACTTTTTATTACTGAGGAGTGTCACAAAACGCTGAAAAAAGAGGCTTCAACTCATAATTTGTAAATAATGTGTAGCAGTGCAGAGACACGTAAAATAACTAGGAATTAACAAACCTTGATCCCATACCAAACTGCCCTATATACATTTGAGACAAGTACAGTGGTTCATACATAGTATACACTGAAATTCTAAACATTCACTTTTCACGGCTTCACAGGTACGCCATATGAAAGAATGAGGTGATCCTTTTAGATAGCCCATAGCCATATCATCATTTGCCTGATTCTGTTTTATACTGCAGGACAGAGGCCTCCCCAGTTGCCCTCTCAAATAGGCAAGGCAACGAAGCATTTCATTTTAGCAACATTATTTATAACCTAATGTTTTTCATTATATATCTTTCTATTATTGATTGCCTACTTGTGGACTATTTTCCCTACTTTCATCCCATTTCATGATTAATGGATCTTTTTGGTTTTATTTTTCTGCTCTACCTACCTCCTTTACACTCAAGTGCAACTCTACATCTTTGCTTGTCTGTGGTTATGTCATAATCGTAACTGTTGTGCTTATTTTGCCCATTTCCAAAAGAAATTCCAATTATGTTTCTAGAAATAAGTGCAGCACATCTGTGAATAAATAATAATTAGCCGTGACAACCTTATATTCAGTGTATAAGTTGCTAAAACAGAATTGCAAATGTCAATATGTCAGGATCTCGGCCTTAATTTCCAACATAGAATGGTGAGAGAAATGCATGTTTAATTGTATGTTAATTAATCATCTAAGTACGATTAGCCGTGTAGGATTCAATCAGGATATTGATTGTCTAGCTATACACCTGAAATATTCTAACATGAAAGCTAAACTATTGGTATTACAACGTCTGATTTATGTCGGCATTTTTAATGGATTATGTTTTAGATACGCATTCGTCTTTATTTCAGGGCGCAAATATATCACAACTAGAAAGAGATATTGGGTCTGAGCAGTTCCCACCGAACGAGCATTATTTTGGTTTAGTTAATGTAAGTTTTTCAAAGCAATATACTTGTCAAAAAAGATTCTAATTTGAAGAATATTTCAAGCATATTTTATCTTGAAGTTATTATTATTTACTTCTAACTGTTAACATAATTTCAGTTAATTCCCTAACCTTCAATAAGATTAATTTTCACATACAAATATTTTATTAAAGTGATTTCCTATGTCCTCGGACAGCAATAAGGAATATGATGAACAAGATAAGGAAATTTCTTATCATCTTTATCGTTTTTCTACAATGATGTAAGTGACACAGTAGCAGATGTTAGTTGCTATGAAAAATATAGTATCTAACAAGATGATAACAAATTCCTTATTAGAGTTGAACCAGAAAAAAACTAAAATTGATTACCACACATAAATCACAAATAAAATACATGATTGTTACAATTAACGAATTTTTCACAGTTCACAGTTAAAATGTAAAATAATTTGTAATTTATTTTCAGTTTGGCAATACCTGTTACAGTAATTCTGTGTTGCAAGCATTGTATTTCTGTCGCCCATTCAGAGAGAAGGTACTTGAGTATAAAGCCAAGAATAAAAGGACAAAGGAAACGCTTCTTACATGCCTTGCAGACTTGTTTTATAGCATTGCAACACAGAAGAAGAAAGTAGGTTCCATAGCGCCTAAAAAGTTTATTGCTAGGTTGAGAAAAGAAAAAGGTAAATCATTCATTTAAAATTTAATTATTTATCTTAAATGATTGATCTCAAAAACTTTACATCTGTTGTTGCTGGTTACAATCATGTAGCATGCATAAGCCACATTGGTGTCAATTAAAAGTAGTTAATTAAAGGTAAACAATCTTGGTATGTCTTTTTATATTAAAGAGGTTGTATAAAATGTATCATAGATTATTTAAATTTAGTTTATTAGCAACAACAATTTTGGGTTGATACCTGGTTGTAAACATTTTTCAACATCTTTTAGATAAAAAGACATGTTCAAATGGTTCACATTTAGTTTATTACCAAAACCAATAGACTCTAGAGCAGTGGTTCCTAACCTGGGGGTAAAATGGAAATTCTAGGGGGTAACATGACGGCTTGAATAAGTATTAAAATAGCAATAAACAAAATAATAGCACCTACCCTAAACAAACAGGACAAAGAATGGTTTTCAACTCTTGTTACATAACAAACAATATCTAGAAAGCTCCTGAAACTGAACCTAATATTGTCAAACTTGTGAATTCAACACAATTCCAACCTCCACGTCGTCCATTTGTGTGGTTTTAATTATTTTAAATTAGATAGGGGTAAACTCAATTCCCATACTTGTTCCCAGATGTAGTGACATTAAAAATGTTAGGAACCACTGCTCTAGAGCCTACATCATCAAAGGAGAGATCATAGATCATTAGTATGGTTCACAATAACTTTTACTAAACAAATCTTTAAATGTTATATTACAGAGGAGTTTGATAATTATATGCAACAAGATGCCCATGAATTTCTCAACTTTCTAATCAACCACATAAATGAAATTATTTTAGGTAAGTTTCTTTTCTTTAACACTAGGATTTACCCTGATATTGCGTGTGCTTTTACGCAAAATTACACAGACTGATTACGACCAAATTCAACAACAATTGGATCACAAAAAAAATTCGCGTGGTCATCGAACCCGCTCTATGCCACCAATTACCAATTGATCAGACACTATCTATCAAATCAAATCATAATAATCAGGCATCCTTAGGTTGCCTGTAAAAATAATCGCTACTTGCGAACTTGCGATAAGGGCAACCGTTACAAGAGATGCTGTTATTATTTGTTTTATGCTTAATGTTCCTTTACATGGTGTACAGTACATCATCATCAGCTTATAACAGCCCACTGCTGAGCAATAGCCTCTTCTCACTCGAACTTACTAAGGTGGATTGCTGATTTCAAACTTTTAATAATTAGATTTTATAAGTCAAGGTTTCCTCACTATGTGTTCCTTCACTGGTTTATCTAGTCATATCTAGTCATATCTAGTCGGGATTTACCAGGATTCGATCCGCGTCCGACATCTTAACCTCTTGTGGAGGCTACCGGCGATATAATTTTCTTGCGGCGACTGGGACCACTTACAGATAATCCAAGAAACACATTTTAAAAAACGTTGCCCCACACTAGGATTTTCTCCCGTGTCGTGGGTGCGATTACATACAATTACACCCAAACCCGGAACAACAATTATTGGAGCTTAAATTGGTACAGTCAAAAGAAAAAAATATATATCTACCTAGTTTTTTTTAATAATTCGCACACGCAAAGGGATAAAAATTTTATAACTTTGTGATGCTATCTCTAACTCGACTCCTTATTGTGTTAATTTCAATTTATTTTTATATCAAAAAACAATATTTTTCTTAAATATTACATCATAGAATTTTCCGTGTGACTGTAATTTTTTTTTTATTTCTGTTATCATTTATGACTGGTCCTAGTTGATGGAACAAAAGTATTTCAGTTTAACGGATCCGTCGACTGGGACCGCGGTCCGACTTTTTGTGGTCCCAGTCGCAGGAAGCCTTCTCTTGTCGACCACGAAAGTGGTGTTCAATAACAAGTTTTTTATTGTAACTATTTACCGATTGCTTATGATATTTTACAGCTGAACGCAATCAAAGCACACTGAAAGTACAAAAGAATGCGTCTGGGGAGAATGTCACTTGCAACGGTACTGCGCCACAGAATGCGGAACCTACATGGGTGCACGAGATATTCCAAGGCACACTCACCAGTGAGACTCGGTGCCTCAACTGTGAGACTGTTAGCAGCAAGGATGAACATTTCTTTGATTTACAGGTGGGTACCTGATTCATTATCATACTACGATAATATTATTTTCCTTAATTTTTTTATAAATATTACATATAACTGTAATATTAAAGTCAAATCATCTATTCCAATTTGATAAAAGCTGAAACTGCTTTTATCGTAAAATCGATTTCAAATTAATATTAATAAGATGAGGGTGGTGAAGTTGTTTGTTTGAAGTTTGACCGCGGAAGAACTGAATCGACTTGAATATACATATTTATGTTGGTTAGCCCATTTACGACCAATAGAATTGGTGAAACCGCGCGGGAATAACTAGTTAGTAAAGAATTAAATTTTTCCAGGTGGACGTTGGTCAAAACACGAGCATAACACATTGTTTAAAATGCTTTAGCGACACAGAAACACTATGCAACGACAACAAGTTTAAATGTGACAATTGTAGCAGCTACCAAGAAGCGCAGAAACGTATGAGAGTGAAGAAACTCCCGCTCATACTAGCTCTGCATCTTAAGAGATTTAAGTACATGGAACAATATAATAGACATATTAAGGTGTCCCACAGGGTCGTATTTCCTTTGGAACTGAGGTTGTTCAATACGGTAAGTTTAATAGACTCTTAATTAAATGTAACCCTTCCCCTCTTCCAAACCCTTGTCCTAAAAAGGTCGGCAACATACTCGTATCTCCTCCGCTGTTACCGTGTCCATGGGTGGAGTTAATTGAATACCATCAGTTAATCCGACCGCTCGTTAGCCGTCCTATCATACTAAACTAAAATAAAAAACTCCCCTTTTCCATACTAGGATAAAAAGTATAAAATTAGAAAAGGCAGAAGTAGTCGTTCAAAATAGGCTTTTATTGAAATACTTCATATTT